ATATGCTAGATTAAGATACAATATCAATGTAAGTTAAATCACCAAAAACATACATCAATATTGCAAAAACATCAAAACTTAATCTAGCCAAAAACAGCAATAGTACATTATCAAAGTACTTTATCATTACAAATACCAAAAATTATCACAATGCTACTCCCACTTTTTGTCACAAATGGCAAGGGGAACCCTAAGCAACTAAGCATGACCATCATCTCCATCATCCACGTTCTCGAAATCGTCAGCCTCAGACTCATAATCCCAGTGCTCGCGCATCCATTGAATATCGCGCTGAACAAGAGCAATAGCCCTCCACAATGTAATAAACTTCGTAGTACGACGCTCAGAAGTAGCTTGTAACTGAGTAATATTGGCCATCATATGGGCCTGCTGCTCAATGAGAATCGACAACTGACCCATAAGCGCGACAGTGGGGTCAACAGGAGTAGTAGTCAGAGCAGGCGGGACGAGTGGTGGAATAGAAGTGTAAGAAGAGGGAATATCTGAAGTGGACGAAGGAACATCTGAAGGAGGTGGAGGAATAGCTGAGAGATCAGCAAGTAAATCACCTAAAGGATCAGCTGGCACTGTCGGATCGATAGGTTCAGCTGGCTCAACAGGAGCAGATGCAGAAGCAAAAGAAGTGACATGTGACCTACTCTGAGAGATGGTAGTCTGCCCTATGGGACAAAGAGCTCATCGTGACATTTCATCAGGAAATGAAGTCCCAAGTGATGTCACCAAGTGGCAGATCAAGCAAGCATAGGGATGACCAATCCGATGATCGAAAAATTGAAAAGTATGTAGAATGTGCTGGCAAATGAAAGTGGTAGGTCAATCGAATCCATGTAGCAAAGTAAAAAAAGAAATCTCGCCTTTTCCATAAGTAGGGAAGAAGTGTGAGAGACGGGCCACAGATTCATGTACATAATGCGCAACAAAATTTGTCGATTAGTGAGGAGTGAACCAGTGTGGATCGCCTCAGGCCCACCTCCCAATGGACTATTAAACAGAGTGGACCGAACCAGAGAGTCGGCTGGAATAGAATCAGCTGAGAGATATGGATAAACGGGATGAATGACTCAGGGAACATGTATGGAACTAGAAATAATATCTGGTGAAATCCTAAGTGTCTGACCTCGAAGGAACACCCTGAAGGACGAATCACTAATGTCATAGACGTTCGTATAGAACTCCTGAACAAAGAGACTAGGCGGGGGATTTAACCCAATCTGCAAGGATTCCCAACCTTAAGAAGTAAAGATAGTGCTAGATCAAGGGATAGGTCAGGAGTGACCTCATGCTCTACTAGAATAGGACGAATGGAAAACTAACTCTCAAATACCTCTTGAGCAGTAGAGGAAATGAACCTAGACTGACTAAATGAAGTCGATCCTCTACCAGGCTGAGCTGTAGTCCTAGCCCTCTTAGGTGCCATCTGTAATGTGAGATGTAGAAGACACATCAATCCTCAAGGAAAACTAATTGACGGAGACACGTGAATGTATGAGTCCTAAAGTTCAACCACACACAGGCATGCAAACCGATGCAAGAGTGGTGCACAAATGGCAATCATGCAAGCCAAAGGTAACACATGTCACTACAGCTGGATGACAATGCAAGATGTAAGTGACGTGACCTAGATGTAAACAGGAACGGTTGCGGGATGGAAGGAACTCACTGCAAGTATATTGGAAACTCCAAAACCAATAAGTGCCGACCCAAAATAGGTACCAAAACGACATAGCTAGGGTCCAAACATCAAGCACACGAGATGAATGTCACACAATGGGCAAAGGAAGTAGTGAAGTGGGGATGAAACGTTTCATCGAACACGTTGCAACATTCGAAATGCAAGGAAATTCAACTACAATTGTAATAACCCAATAGACACCCAACATTCCTTAACAACCCTACCTACTCAGCATCTAAGGAATTCCAATCACTTGACACAAGACCCACAATGGATGACACAAAAAAAATGTATGTGTGGATAACAACTAAAATACGAAGAACAAATAAAAAAATGTGATAACAAACAAGGAAATCACCAACCACACAGCACAATGCAGAATGAATGAAGTGAGTTAAGCAAAATGAAGTGGAAAAATCAAAATCCCCAAATTGTGAAAAAATTAGGTCAAGCGATGCGTTTACCGATTTGGAACGAAGAAAAACCAATCAAGTGAACACAAGGAAGATGAATTGAAGCCCCACACCCAATGATTGAAGTAAAAATTGACCAAGGATGTCGTTCGTGAGAGGAAATTTGAGAGAGAGATGTGAAAAATAAAAAAAATGAAGTGGAACCCTTCGCGAGAAAAGTAAAAATCTCGCTGTCACTCGAGCAAACATCGAGCGACAAACACACTGCTTTTGTCACTCGAGCGATCTGCCAGTAGCAAGCGAACAAAGGGTGAATGTCAAAAATAGCACTGAATTTTGAAAATTTAAAAATCTAGCCCTAGGTTTAAAACTTTGCAGAGTAACATCACTTTAGAAACATTCAAAAATAGCACCTTTTCCAGAAATTTGAATTTTAACTCCAATTTTTTTTAATATATGAATTATGCACATGCAGTAGGTCCAATCAAATTAAAATAGATCACAAATACGGCATGCACAATGATTAGAAAATGTTTCTCCATACACCGGGACCAAGGACAGATGGAGTAAATTGTATATGTGACCCCATGTGAAACGTGTCACTCATTCAATGCAAGTAAGACTCAAAACCTTAAATTTGTGAGAAGCGACAACCAAATCCTTGAAGTAGGAGTCAACACCTAGATATTTGAAGGTCAAATCCAATTTTACTAGGACCTATAATTCATTAAAATATGGTGTAAAACTGTTCTTTCTCCCCCTGTCATTAAGGACCTCCTTTTTTTTTATCTTATGTGCAATCCTATCTCCATTATGCTACTAAGAAAACCGTTGTAACGAGTGTTGGGTCGGTGACTTCCAAACCAGTTGGCTTTAGGGCATCAGGTTATGAGAAACCCCTCAGACTTCATTGCTCGAGTCAACTAGGCTCCAAAGATAGGTATAAGATGCGATACAATAAATACTCTTTTGAATCACTTGGGGGTATACCAGAAGTTTGGTCATCTAGTCCAAGACCAATTCAAACCCAATGTCAACTCAACGACTGATGATAGCCATCTCAAGTCTCACACATGTGGTTAAGACTCACTCAAACGATCCTAGTGTATGCTGTGCAGATATAATATAAAGTGATATATACTAAGTACTCCATACAGACTCAATATAAGTGATGGGAATTAGAAACTAATCATGTGTCGAATGCAGATTTGATCCCAAATTGGAAGTCCGAGTAAACAACTACAATGTAAAAATGACACGTAATGATTAATCCTAGATTTTTTTATTTTTTTATTAAAATCCAAAATGAAGACAGATACAAATGAACACAAATAAGCAATGTAATGAATGCAAAAATGAATTACTGAAATAAACTAAACATGCATGCATCTATGAAGACAATCAAGGAGGAACACAGATGCCAACAACCTTCCTAAGTGACTCGAATCTCAACCCATCTAAAGTTTTAGTGAATAGATCGACAAGTTGATTTTTAGTAGAGATGTGTTCAAGTGATACCACATTAGACTCAACTAGCTCTCGAATAAAGTGATGACGAATGTCAATGTGTTTGGTCCTAGAATGCTGAACATTATTTTTTGATATGTTGATAGCACTGGTATTGTCATTAGAAAATAGTCATAGTACCTTGATTTATCCCATAGTTACTCAGCATTTGCTTCATCCAAAGTAGTTGAGTGCAACAGCTACCAGCTACAATGTATTTTGCTTCGACTGTGGACAAGGAGACAGAGTTCTGTTTCTTACTCAACCATGAGACAAGATTAGAACTAACATAGAAACATCCACCCAAGATACTCTTTCTATCATCGACGTTTTCGACCCAATCAGCATCAGAATAGCCGGCTAGTTCAAGATTGGGCTCTCTGGAATACAAGATCCTATGATTTACTGTCCTATTGACATATCCAATAATGCGCCTTACTGTACTTAGATGGGACTCCTTAGGATCAGCTTAAAATCTAGCACATACTCCAACACTGAATGCTATATCAGGTCTAATGGCTGTAAGGTATAGTAGACTACTTATCATGCTCCTATACACAGTCTGATCAACACTCTTACCTTTACGATCACGTCCTAACTTAACACTTGTGCTCATGGGTGTCCTTGTGTGTTTCTTACTGTCCAAAACAAATATCTTCACAAGGTCTTTGGCATATTTCGATTGAGAGATAAACAGCCCACAATCAATTTGCTTCACTTAAAGACCAAGGAAGTAACTTAGCTCTCCAACCATGCTCATTTCAAATTCTTGTTTCATGCATTCAGCAAATTCAAGAGCAAGGGAGTTAATGGGAGAGCCAAAGATGATGTCATCGACATAGATCTAAGCTACAGTTATAGTTTCTTCAATATGTCTAATGAATAAGATTCTGTCAGCGCCACCTCGTGAGAACCCATGCTCAACGAGATAAGTGGTAAGTTTATCATACCAAGCTCTAGGAGCTTGTTTCAGACTATACAGTTCTTTATTGAGTTTGTAGACATAATGAGGAAACTTAGGATCAATGAATCCTTTTGGTTGTTCAACATACGCCTCTTCTTGAAGTATTCCATTTAAGAATGCACTCTTAACATCCATTTGATATATTTTGAACCCTAAGGTACATGCAAATGCAAAAAGAATGTAAATGGACGCAAGACGAGCAACAGGGGCAAAAGTCTCATCAAAATCTATCCCTTTAACCTGAGTGTACCCCTGGGCAACTAGTCTAGCCTTATTTCTAGTTATGGTACCTTGGTCATCAGCTTTGTTCTTGAAAATCCACTTAGTACCTATCACATTACAATCATCAAGCATAGGAACTAGATACCAAACATTATTTCGAACAAATTGATTAAGCTCCTCATGCATGGCATTTACCCAACATTCATGCATTCACCCAACATTCATCTCTAAGGGCTTTCTTTACTTTCTTAGGTTCAATATGGGATACATAGCTAGTATATGTTAGGTTATTTAGAACTCTCTTTCGTAACCTCATACCTTCATCTAAATCCCCAGTGATGTTAACATTAGGATGATTAGATTTGACCCTGGAAGATGGTTATCTAGGAAGTTTAGACTAATCACAATTTGGTAAACCCTGATCAGAGATGTTTTCAGATGAGCGTGGAGATTTTGGAATTGATTGCTCTTTATTTTCAGCAGTGGCTCCTTGATCATCACTTAGATCTTCTATATCAACCCCATTTTCAGTACTCTCCCCCTCAGTAATGGCATCATCAATAACAACATTTACAGATTCCAAGACACTCTAAGTACGGAAGTTGTAAACTCAGTAGGCTCTACTATTCTTAGAATATCCTAGAAAAACCTCATCATCACTTTTGGAATCAAAGTTGCCTAGATTTTCTTTATCCCTCAGAATGTAACACTTGCTGTGAAACAAACAAAAGTATTTAACAGTAGGCTTCTTGCCTTTCCAGATCTCATAGGGAGTCTTATCTATGTTCGGTCTCAGGTATACCCTATTTACTATGTGGCACGCGGTGTTAATGGCTTCACCCCAGAAATGCATTGCTAGATCCTTGCCATGAAGCATAGCCCTAGCCATTTCCTGAAGCACTCTATTCTTCCTCTCAACAACTCTATTTTGCTGTGGAGTGATTGGTGAGGAGAATTCTTACTTAATCCCCTCCTCCAAACAGAAGTTTTCAAATTCTTTCTCATGATAACTTCGAACCCTAGAAATGGAAAGATTTTGTTCAATTTTGAGTCTTTTACATAAGGACTTAACCAGATCACCCGTCTCAGATTTTTCTCTTAACAGTTTAATCCATGTGTACCTAGAAAAATCTTCTACCACAACCAGAATATACCGTTGCTTCCTAGGCTCTCCACTCTAGATGGTCCCATTAAATCCATATGGAGAAGCTCTAAGGGTCCATTTGTCAAGATTTTTGAGATTCGCTTATAGTTTATCTTGAGTTACTTTCCTTGTTGACACTGCTTGCACACAGCATTTTCACTTTGATCAATCTTAGGTAAACTATAGACAATCTTCTTTTTGACCAATTTAGACAGACTTCTGTAATTAACATGATCGAGCCTTTGATGCCAAAGTTCAGACATATCAATTTTAGCACTACTATACACATAGTTCGAGTTTGGGAGGACTCCATAACAGTTATCAGATATTCTAACACCTTCAAGAACAACACCACTTGAAAGGTCATAAATAGTGCATCTTTTTTTGTCAAAACTCACTTCATAGTCAGCATCACATATTTGACTAATGCTCAACAAGTTGGACTTAAGACCATCTACATAAAGCACATTAGATATTGCAGGAAGTCCAAAAATGGTGATGGAGCCTTTACCTCAGATGGGTGTCGTAGCTCCATCCCCAAAGGTAACTACACTACCGTTGCAGTCATCAAAGGTAGAGAATAAGACCTTGTTACCACACGTGTCTAGAACAAGCACTATCAAGATACCACATGCATGTATTTTGAGCCTTATATGCTACATGAGCAGCAAAACATTTTAGATTCTCACCATACTCACCCACATCAGATTTCTTTACCCAAAAATTTCTAGAGGTCGAGGTGATCCTAGTCAACCTTGTTAACATCTCAGTTAAGTGACTGACCTAATTTGAAAGGAAGTTTACCTGACTAGGGATATCCTGACTTCTATTCCTATTTACTAGCTTTCGACACCTAGGTCTCGTGTGACCTACAGCACCGCAATGATGACAAGTGGGTATGAACCTAGGTTCAGATGCACGTGAGTGTTGATCCTGAAATTTAGGTGTAGAAATCTTATGGGCTTTAGTGGCTTTCAGTCTAGTGAAATTCTTGTCTTTGGATTCTGGATTGGTTGAAACATTAGATCTGTTGGAAGTGGGGACAAATGTGGTCTTGGACAAACTAGACACATTGTCATCACTCTTCACAATTCCTGGACCTTGCCTATTTCCAGCTGGTTTGTTCATTCCTAACAGATCGTCTAGTTTTTTAGTTCCACTCATAAATGACTGCAGTTGAGTACTAGATTTTTCTAACTCACAAGTCAATGTCTTAACCCTGTCCTCTAATTTTTCATTGACACACTTCACCTCACTGAGATTCTTAGATGAGACTTGAAGATCATTAGTGATTTTCTCCTTCTCTCTCTCTCAAGCTCGTCTACCTTCTTAAATAGGGATTTATTTACCTTCTTGATCTTGAGACTTTCCTTAAACAGAAATTGATAAGCCTCATGTATATCTGTCTCATCCTCAGAATCGTCACCGGACTTGTTACTCTCTACTTCCTCCTCAACCTTCTCACTCTCCTTATCGGACTCGTTCTTAACAGTAGATACAAAAGCCATATAGCCCTTTTCCTCTTCACTGCTTGAGGAATCACTTTGTTCACTTGAGTTAGAATCATCATCAGTTAAGGACACAACTAATGCCCTGCTCCTTCCCTTCTTTAGATTTTTCTTAAAGTTAGGACATTCATTCCTATAGTGCCCAAATCCCTGACACTCATGACACCTAATCACTTGAGATTTCTTACTAGGGTTCCTAGCAGTTGATTTATCATTCTTCTCTCTTTGTAATTTACTAGGGACTCCTCTCATTTTCTCTTGGGGCCATTTTTTGCCCTTTAAGACTTTCTGGAATTTCTTCACAAAGTAGACAATCTCCTCATCTCTAAGAGTTTCCACGACAGATGACTCAGACTCCTCTTCCCTAATAGTGTTCAAGGTTATGGACTTGTTTTTCCTCGGTTGTGAAATGGTGAGTTCATAGGTTTGAAGGGATCCTACAAGTTCTTCTATCTTAACTGTGTCTAGGTCCTTGCTTTCTTCAGTAGCTGTAACTTTAGGTCTAAATCTCTTAGGCAAGGACCTAAGCACCTTCCTAACAATTTTGGACTCGAGAATCCTCTTACCTAGGTTGAAACTAGAGTTAACAATGTCATTCAATTTGGCGTAGAACTCATCAAAAGACTCATCATCCTTTATCCTGATTTCTTCAAACCTTGAGGCCAGCATTTACAACTTAGAATTTTTCACAGTTTTAGTTTCCTCGTGCGTTGTCTCTAGAATGTCCCATACCTCTTTAGTAGTTTCACACATTGACACTCTCTTAAACTCTTCAGGAGACACAGACATAAATAATGCATGGAGACCTTTACTATTCCAGTTGCATTCAGCCAATTCATCCTTAGTCCAAAGGAAAATGTCAGTTGGGGTTACAACACCCGACACAGTTGTGGAAGGAGGTTTCCAACCATTTTGTACACTCACCCAGACATGTTCATCTAGGGAGTTAAGAAAAACACGCATTCTAACCTTCCAGTAGGCATAGTTGCTTCCGTCAAAATACAGAGGCACAGACAGTGATTGACTCATCTAGACAACTATGGGTCAGGACTCGAGATTTGGCTCTGATACCATTTGAAATATCGTAGTTCGACCTAATCAACACCTAGAGGGGGATGAATAGGTGTTTATACGGAATTTTCTTTTTCAATTAATTAATAATTGCAACACGTCACAAATATTAATTTGTCTAGATCAGTTCACATGCTTTACTATCCTATGTTTGAATACCAATAATAAATTAATTGCAGAAAAGTAAATAATGCAATTGTTTGATGATGGAGAAACCCCAATGTGGGTAAAACTCCGGGCCCAAGCTAGTAGGAATCCACTATAAATGAAAATGCAACTTAAAATCTGCTGACTCAACCCACACTGGTTTTTCTGACCTCTTGACTGTAATTTCCTCAAAGCCTTCTTGGAATGCGTGATCTCGCATCAACTCCCGGCTCCTACCCCTCCTGGATTGCTTGCTAACCAATTCCTGGCTTTTGATTTCGTCTGTCTCCTGTGGATTCAAGAGAATCGCCTGTTCTCTAGGGATCGGGACTCTGATCTCCTTCCTCGATCTCCAGGAATCAACAAAGGCTCTGGAAGGTTGTGTTGTGGTGTTTGATGAATGTTGATTTGACGTTATTAGGTGATTGCGCGAATCAAGTATGGGATTGAATGAGAGAATCAAAGTGTGAAGAGTTTTCTTCAATTTCAATCCTTGAGAGAAAACCGACGCAATTTTATTTATATGAAGTGTATTTGGACATTTGGGTCGGGTTAAAATGTCGAAAAAAGGAAAATATGGTTTTATGGATAACACCGTCACTCGAGCGAAAAGCGAGTGACGCTGTTTCGCTCGAGCGAAGTGGGGACGATAAGCAAGCGACGACCTTTCTATTTTTGTCGCTTGAGCGACCACTTGGCGAATAGCTAGCGAAACTTCAATGACACATCTTGCACTACTTCATAGCTCGAACCCTAGCATACTTTGAAAAAATTGAAACTTAGTCCCTCATCTTTTACACATGTACAAAATGACCTCTAACCTTTAAACATTGACAAATTAACCCCAAACTTTTGAACATTTGCAATTTTACCCTTTTGTTCACTGAATACCCAACACGAAATCTAACATCCTCAAAGACATATCCAGCTATAGTATTGCGACATGTTATTAAACTCATAAGAACTGAAATTCATGTGCACGTGAGAAAATCATGCACACTGGTGCATGTGACGACCAAGAGGTGAAAAAATTGCTTCAAAAAATTTAATTTGCAAAATACATTATTTGACTTAACAACACTGCAACTAAAATATTATTTTCACTTGATTAAGAGCAATAATTCCAACGGATTGAAGAAACATTGAGAAAGTCTATGAATATCATATTTGCTTGGAGGATTAAAATAACGATTACATTGTTTTGTTTGATAATGAATATGCGCTCCTTCCAATTTTCTGAAACCTTTTAGATCAATGAAATATAAACTCTTTCCCTTAAAATTTTATGCATATTTTAGCTGTACTCTAGATTTTTCAAGAAGCTCCAATGGTTTTTTTCCCTCCTAAATTGTAAAAAAAAAATGTAGAAATTAACCTAATTCTAATAACATTAAGCCCTTTTTTGATTTTGATTATTTGGAATCACTGTATTTCCACAATCATTTTCAATATTACGTTCTCCAAAAAAAAAAAAACTTTTTCAAATTTTGAATAATTAGTCCTCAAATAATTATTATCAAACAAGCGCTCAAGTGGCGTAATGAAGTTAATCAAGAATCCGAGACTAAAGTGCATCTCCCTTATTTCAGTGGACCCAAAGTAAAGAAGTATAGTAGATTGTATGCCTTGGAAGGTTTTGAAGCCTTTTCCTATTGCTTACTCGAATTACAAATACCTTCTCATCCTAGACACACAATATCCCTTTGGAAAGTTGATGCTCCTTGTCCTGCAATTCATTAAAGCTCAGGCCTTGGAGCTCCTTTCCCACATCCATCTTCAATTTCACGACATTGACAATAGAATTTAATGGGTTAAAACAAGCTATTGGATTATAATTTAATCATATGTTGTTACCTTCGGTGTCTAATATTATTGATATTTCGTTTCTACTAAAAACTTTATTTTTAATTAATTTCAGGAGTTATTGTTCAAAAAATTGCGAGACCATCAACTCGCCAGCATATTCTATTTTCCATTGTTGGGTGAAATAATTCATATCATGACATATATAGAAATGTTATATCGTGCACAATCTGCGTGGTTGCCGACCTAATCCTCTTGTTTATGCATTCACAGAACTTGATATTAGATTCAGTAACTCTTACCTGCCATCCTCAATAGAATATCAAACTATAGTGTTGCAACATATTACCTAAAATTATAAGTCCTGGAATTCATGTGCACGTGAGAAAATGGTGCACACTTGTGCACGCGATGACCAAGAGGTAAAAAGAATTGTTCTGTTAAAATTGTTTCCTAAGATTGTTTGAAAAATTCTAATGTGTAAAAAACATTATTTGATTCAACAGTACAGGGAACTAAAATTTTATTTTGACTTGATTAAGAGCATTAACTCCAACGGATCGAAGCAACATTGAGAAATGTCTATAAATATTGAATTTCTCTGGAGCATAAATATAATGACTACATTGTTTTGTTTGATAATGAAATTTCATATACATATCCCTTCCAATTTGCAGATATGTTTTAGATCAATGAAATAAAAACTCGTTCCCCTAAAATTTTATGCAAATTATAGCCGTACTATTGATTTTTCAAGCAGCTGCAATGGTTTTTTCGCCTAAATTGTAAAAAATGTAGAAATTAAAAAAATTATAATTAAATTAAGCCCTTTTTTGATTTTTACTGTTTGGAAATCTCTTCTTTTCCACACTCATTTTCAATAATGCAGTCTCAAAAAATAACGCTTTTCTTGTTTCGAATAACTTCTCAAAGAATCATTATGAAACAAGCGCTAAGGTGTGTGTAATGAAGTTAATCAAGAAGGCTTTGCCAAGCAGATAATTATGTCACAAATACTTTCTTATCCTTCACACACCATATCCCTTTGGAAAGTTGATGCTCGATGTCCTGCAATTCATTAATGCTTAAGCCTTCAAGCTCCTTTCCCATCGTCGATCTTCACAACATTGATAATAGAATATAATAGGTTAAAAAAAGCTTTTGGATTACAATTTAATCATATGAATTCACATGACCAGATATTAGATTTGGTAACTCTTACCTGCTTGGCCACAATGCAATATCCAACTATAGTATTGCAACATATTACTTAAACTCATAAGTCCTGGAATTCATGTTCACGTGAGAAATTCACGCACATTGGTGCTAGTGACGACGAAGAGGTGAAAAAAATGTTTAGTTAAAATTGTTTGCTAAAATTGTTTGAAAAAACCTAGAAAGGTCTATAAATATCGCATTGTCTTGAACACGAATATAACAACTACATCATTTTGTTTGATAATAAAATTATTTGTATGCAGAGATTGTCTTACAATTTGCAGATACTTTGTAGATCAATGAAATAAAAACTCTTTCCCTTAAAATGTGACATAAATCTTAGCTGTATCTTAATTTTTCATAATAGATCGAAACATATTGATGTCAAATACCATTTTATAAGATATATAATTTCGAAAGATGAAATTAAGATTGAAAAAGTTTCCACTCAGTTTAATCCATCTGACATGGGTACAAAACTAATTCCTTTAAACAAATTTTTAAACTGCTTGAAACTTTTATCTGTTGATTCTCTGTGATTCGTGTACAAGTACTTGGAGCAAATGAAAAAGACATAAGATCATGTTCCGAGCTGCACTAATAGTTCAATTTCTGGTAGCAAGGTGGAGATTGTTGGAGTCAAACCCTGTTCTCTACATGTGGTGCTTTTAGAATTTGAATTGTGGCAAAATCATGTTTATATGAAACACGACTTAATTAATGGTGATAACTTTATTGGATGACCAACACATGGATTAACTCTGTACGTTGGATGGAGCCAGTTCATCTACCCTACCTTAAAAGACCCAGAGTCTTCTAGAACGTCTGATCTTTAACACTTCGTTTTGCATTTGACTCTAGGGTTTTCAAAGAGAAAAATGGTGATTTGAGTGATGATCTTTTCTTGAGTGTTTCATGCTTAAAATCTCTAATTTTATGTATAGGTTAATGAGATCTTCCTTCGATCTGTAATATTCTGTGTGGATAGTAAAGAAATCTGAGTGATTTCTCTGTTGTAACTTCGTAGTGATGTTCGAAGGGTTTGAGGGTTGAGATCTGAGTAAATCTTTGTAGATCCATCACTATGCTTGAGAGATAAGTCATTGTCATCTCTCTAAACAATCTATAATTCTTGTTGCCATTTTGGGTTGTTTAGTGCAACCGAGCATAATCCAAATCTTCGGATGCTTAACGGGGGATGTAGGCGCTAGAAGTTGTCGTCGAACCTCCGGGGTTTAGGTCGAAATAATTCCTTTGTGTTCATTTTTAATTTCCTGCAATTTTATTGCTGTTAGATTAAGGTTTTCTTGTTTCTTGAATTTAATATCGTGTGATCCTACCTTTACAGATAGAAAGGGTTCGAGATAGGAATTGGTTTGGGAAGATAAAGGGAATTTACACTTTCCACAAATGGATTTTGATTTTGTTAACTTGAAGGAGAAGGCGGCAAAAAATGAGAATTCTGGCTTTTGAAGGAGGAGGCGGAGACAGTGGAGCCGAAATTGGAAGGAATAGGCGGAGGCAGAGGCAGATGATGTATGGAATGAGATTGAATTTGAATGGATGGAATAGGTTCAAGTCTTCATATAAATGGTAATTATGGTATGGTACTGGGCTAATAAATGGGCTTCACTTCTTCCTTGGCTAGGTTTGGCGATATTGCTGAAAGAAGAAAAAAATGGCCTTTCACAACGTTTGATAAACGTTGCTAAAGTTTTCTATTTTTGCAACGTTTGATAAACGTTGTATAAGAGAAACATTTTTGCAACGTTTGATAAACGTTACAAAAAAGTTTATCCTTCATAACAATCGATAAATGTTGTTAAAGGTTTCTCTTTTTATAACATTTGATAAACGTTGCGAAAAGGTACATGATAAACATTACGAAAGGGTTTATCTTTCGCAATATTTGATAAACGTTGCAAAAAATTAAAAATTTTGCAACACTAAATAAACATTTCTAAAAGGCGACATTAGCAACATTCACTTAAGAAATGTTGTCAAATCTCAATTATTAACACCAATGCCAACATTTACTTATTAGGATATTGCAATAGACACTTTTAGCAACATTTAATTAATTAATGTTGCCTTTTTGCAACAAATTTTTGTCGTGGTGGTTGCACCATTTATACTTTCAATGGATCAATTGTAATGTGTTTGATCTTTAAGTGCTTCAAATCAACATTAACAATGCTCAAATTTCATCTATTTCCACTAACTCCGAAGAAATTCATTTATGCAAAGATTTCCATCCATTCTGCAGATATTTTTAGATCAATACAATAAAAACTCTTTCCCTTAAAATGTTACACAAATTTTTACCTGTAATCTTGATTTTTCAAGAAGCTCTAACTGTTTGGTTTGCTAAATTGGCAAAAATGTAGAAATTAATTAAATATAATTAAATTAAGCCCCCTCCCCCTTTTTTATGATTATTTGACAATTCCCACATTGAGTTTAAACAATATATTCTCAAAAAACATTTTTCACATTCAAAGAATTAATTTTTCTCAAAAGACTGATTTTCAAACAAGCTCTAAAGCTTGTGTTAAAAAGTAAATCAAGAGTCCAGAACTTTCTTAAGGCAAAAATAAAATTTCAAATACCTTTTCGTCCTTGACAGACAATATCTTTCAGTAAGTTGATGCTCTAACTCCTGAAATTTTTTAAAGCTCATGCCTTTGAGCTCCTTTCCCATCATCCATCTTCAATTCCATGACACCAATAAAAAAAACCTAATTGGTTTACACATTTTTGAATTATAATATCTTCATTTGTTGTTACCTTTGGTGTTGAATACTATCAATAATTACATTCTTCTAAAGCCTTCCTTTTATCAATATTCATTTATTTATTTTGGAGTTATTGGTTAAAAATGACACACCCTGCCCTGTGTAACATCACTAGATCCGGACGTAGCATGCGCCGATGATAGATACCAACTAAAAGTCGGACCCACCATCAAGGCTACTACAAATACAATATATCACTTTTTATACATCATTTTTCTAACAGAATTTCAGCATTATCTCCGCTGTAAACAAGACTAACCAACCTGTGATCAATTTCACACAAATCCCAAACTATAGCACAACACAATAAAGATAAGCCGAAATCTTAACCTTTCCCAAGAAATAAAATGAAATATACATATAGATGCAAAATATATAGTGAGCCCCATAACTGTCTACAAGTGATGCAAAATCACATCTAGATATGAAAATGCATCCCAAAACACTGACTACATGTTCTATGAAGTGAGTCATATTAACAAACTTTGTCGTGTGGCTCTGATTCCAAGGCTCAACTCCAAAAAATGCCCAGATTCTCAACTGTTGCCTGATAAGGAAAAACGTAAAAAAAATATATGAGTTAATAGCTCAGTGAGTGGAAAAGTTCAAAATAAATATACTTTTTCATTTATACATTTTTATTGAAAAACAAATTCATATCATTTGATAATTCACAAGCTACCATCATGTAATTATAGCCAAAAAGTGAAATATTCACATAAGGTCATAAAATATCATCTTAAAATCATGATATAACATTAGCTGATAACCATGCTATAATCTCATCACATCAAACATGCTGAAAATTTCACCAAAAATGTATCCTTTGACTAAAATATGTAATCCGTCTCTCGGGCTAAAAACTTTCGCTACAGGCCTTTGGCCTCCTCCATGAACGAAAGCCAGTCTCAAAGACCTCTCATAAAATCTAGAACACGGCCAAGGCCCTTCTGTGAACTATATGTACACGATCAAGATCAATGTCAGGTCAAGACCCTCCGCGTAGGATAGAACACGGCCAACGCCCCTCTGTGAACTAGAAGAAGTATATAATCACATGTACTTTTCTGGCCGATCTCAATATTGCATGTCTCACATACCAAACAAATCTCAATATCACATGTCTCACATACTAAGTCACAAATATGCCATAAATAATCTTTGATATTCCACATGTATCATAATAAAAGAGATTTCCATAATAACCATGTAATTCGAACACATAATTACATATAATTGCACATACTTTAACAATATACTTAATTTATAAATATTTTAAAAATATTTATATTTTTCCACTCACAGAGCTATGTACGCCAAAATCAACTCAATTGGTACGCCGTCCCGATATCCGTATCGCCACCTGAAATATAATATAATTTTTAAATCAACAATTAACTAATTTAATTAATTTCAATAATTAAATAGGTGATACCCAAACTTAATTATTTCATGTTTAAGTGATTTATAAAGTCTCTTTAATTACTAAAACTAAATTTTCTTTCATTTTACTCAACTTCATAGTTTATTATACTAATCCCTTCAATAAAATTGAATTTAATCTAACAACTATAAAATCAAACATAACATTTCAATAAGTAACTTTTTACTTACCTTTCAAAATTGAGAAATTCAAGCCTAGTAGCATAGAGCACTTAATCCCTAACACGTTGGAGAATTTTTCCTTTTTTTTCTTTTTTTTCTTCCTCTTTTCCCTTTTTTCCTTCTTTTTCCTTTCTCTTTTTCTCTCTTCTTCTTCTCTGTACCGTTTTCTTGTGTGTGTTGTGTGTTATTAAATTGGTTTTGGGTGGAATTGTCAATCCAGTTCCATCACCTCATTATTCTATATTTTTTTTGTTTGACTTTTCTTTTTTCTTATTTTTTTAAAACTTAATTTATTACAAAACTCACCCCTTAAAAGAATTTCGTCCTTAAAATTCAATTGATCATGTATGAAAAAGTCATGGATATTGAAAATGCATCTGCTCTTCACTTTCCCATGTCGCTTCTTCTATAGCATGATTCCTCAACAAGACTTTAACCAAAGTCATAGTCTTACTACGCAAGACCTATTCCTTCTTGTCTAATATCTGAACTAGTTCCTCTTCATAAGTAAGATTTTCTTTCAGCTCTACTGGTTTTGATTCCAAAACATGAGATGGATCTAGAATGTACTTATGAAGCATGGAAACATGGAATACATCATGAATTATGGACAATTCTGTTAGCAAAGCCAATCGATATGCAACTGGACCGATGCATTCAACAATCTCATATGGGCCAATATACCTCGGACTCAATTTATGTCATTTACCAAATCTGATAACACCTTTCCATGGCGATAATTGCAGGAAAACTCTATCTCCAACATCAAATTCAAGGTTTCTTCTACGTCTATTTACATAGTTCTTCTGTCTATCTTAGACTGTCTTTAACTTTTCTTTATTTATCTTTACTTTCTTAGCAGTAATCTAGACATATTTAGGACTCAATAACTTTCTTTCGCCAACTTCATCCCAACATACTGGAGTTTTGCATTTCCTACCATATAGTGCTTCAAAAGAGCCATTTCTATACTCGAATGATAACTGTTATTATAAGCAAACTTCATCAAAGGAATATGAGTATCCCAATTCCCTTTAAACTATAATACACAAGCACATAACATGTCTTCCAAAGTCTGAATAGTTCTTTCTGACTGACCATCTGTTTGTGGATGAAAAGCTGTACTGAAATGAAGTTTAGTACCCATAGCTTTCTACAAACTGGGACAAAATTTAGAAGTGAAACAAGAATCTCTATCTGAAACAATAGCTACTGGTGTCCCATACAAACTGATTATCTCATCAACATATATTTTTGCCAATTTATTTATTGAGTAAATGACTTTAATAGGCAAAAATCTAGCAGTCTTCGTTAACCTGTCTACAATGGTCCATATGCCATCATCTCCACTCTGAGTCCATGGAAATCTGAATAGAAAATCCATAGTAATGTGTTCCCATTTTCACTCAGGAATAGGCAACGTTTGTAACAATCTTGTTGTTTTCTAACGATCTGGTTTCACTTGTTGGCAAATAAGGCATATGTATACAAACTTGGCTATTTTTCTCTTCATTCCATGCCACCAATAGCGTTCCTTGAGTACACGATACATTTTTGTACTACCTGGGTGCATCGCGTAAGCTGAACTATGTGCCTCTTCTAGAATTTCTCCCTTCAATTTCAAATCAACTAGAACACATAATATGTTTCCCATAACTAAAGCTTCGTCATCTTGAATGGTATAATCTATATGCTTACCTTTATTAACTTCTTCTTTCAATTTGCTCAACACTGAATCTTGAGTTTGAGTTTCTCTAACTGTGTCAATCAAAGTAGGCCTCACTTGGAAGTTGGCAAACAATGTTCCTACACTGGTAACTAATAATTGGGCATAAGAAGCTCTGAACTCACCAAAGAGAAACATACTGCATTAGCCTGGGTCATAGGACTTGATATTTTTCGACTGAGAATATTAGCAACTACATTAGCCTTCCCTGGATGATAATCAATCTTGCAGTTGCAATCTTTTATCAGCTCTAACCATCTTCTTTGTCTCAAGTTTAACTCTTTTTGATCGAAAATATACTTTAAGCTTTTATGGTCGGTACATATCTGGCATCTCTCACCATACAAGTAATGTCTCCAAATTCTCAAGGCTAGGACAACTGCAGCTGGCTCTAAGTCATATGTAAGATAACTCAGTTCATGTTTCTTCAATTGCCTGGACGCATAAGCTATAACTTTCCCATTTTGCATCAAAACACAACCAAGACCCTGACATGGAGCATCACTATATATTAAAAATTCTTCACCAGGAGATGGAAAGGTAAGAACTGGAGCTAACACTAATCTATTCTTCAATTTGTGGAAACTTCTTTCGGAATTTTCATTCCAAACAAATTTAGCATTCTTTCTAGTCAAATTGGTCAAAGGAAGAGCAATTTTAGAAAATTCCTCTACAAAACGACGATAATAACCTGCCAAGCCAAGAAAACTTCGTATTTCTGTCAACATTAGTAGGCCTTTCCCATTTGATCACTGCCTCAGTTTTCTACGGGTCAACATAATTTCCCTCCACTGATATGACATGTCCCAAAAATATAACTTTATCAAGCCAAAATTCACATTTACTGAATTTAGCATACAACTGCTTATCACGTAGAGTCTGCAAGGTGATTTTGAGATGCTTTATGTGTTTATCGTGATTATGAGAGTATACTAAAATATCATCGATGAATACAATCACAAATCTATCTAAATATGGGCGAAACACTATATTCATCATATCCATAAATGCTGCTGGTGCATTGGTCAACCCAAATGGCATCACAAGAAATCCAAAATGACCATACCTTGTCCGAAAAGCAATTTTTGGCACATCACTGTCCCTGATTTTAAGTTGGTGATATCCAGAACGCAAATCAATCTTTGAAACTGCAGCACCGCGAAGCTGATCAAACAGATCATCAATACGTGGCAAAGGATATTTATTGCGAATTGTCACTTTGTTCAATTGTATGTAATCTACGCACAGTCGCATGGTGCCATCTTTCTTTTTCGCAAACAAAACTGGTGCTCCCCATGGAGATACACTACATTTGATGAAACCCTTGTCTACCAACTCTTGCAACTGAACCTTTAGCTCTTTCAATTCTGCTGGTGCCATTCTATGGGGTGTCCGTGAAATAGATGCAGTTCCTGGAATCAGATCTATAGTGAATTCCACATTATTATCCGATAGTAAGCCTGGTAATTCTTCTGGAAATACATTAGAAAAATTCCTTGACCATGGGGATATCTTCAAGTTTTAGTTTGCTAACATCTGTATCAATCACATGAGCTAAATATGCATGGCAACCCTTGTTAAGTAATCTTCTAGCGTCAATAGCAGATATCACACAAGACGGTAAAATTCTATGTTGTCCATTGAATATAATTTCAGGCTGTCCTGGCTGTCTAAACACAACTTTCTTTCGAAAACAATCAACTGAAGCTCGATTTGTTGTTAGAAAGTCCATACCCAAGATAACATCGAAATCATGTATGTCAAGAGGTATTAAATTTGCCTTGAGTTCGTTCTCCTTTATCTTAATCCCACAATTTTGATATATATTATTTACTAATAGTGATTCTCCTACTGGTGTATTCACTACCAAACAACTACCTAAAAGTTCTGACTTTTGATTCGCATATAAAGCAAATGCAAATGACATAAAAGAATGTGTAGATCCAGGACCAATCAAAATACGAGCATTTCTATCAAAAATAGACAACATACCCATGATAAGATCTGATGACTCCTCTATCACCTGCTGAGTTATAGCAAAAACTTTGCCCTGGGTCTTCAGTCATCCTGCCTGTCCTTTTGATTTTGTACCACTACCACTTGTGATATTAGATTGGGCCACACTGTTTGTACCTGCTCTGTTAGCTGAATCATCTCTCTGAGTCTGATTCTATCTTGTTCTACCAGCACTCTGCTGAGGAAACATCCTCTATGCCATGCCACCCTCCTGGAATACAATTGGCCAGTTCCTTTTCCGATGTCCTTGGCCACAACGATAGCAAACACCAACTCCCTTGAACTTTAAACACTCTCCAGAATGAGATCTTCCACATAATTAGCAAGAAGAAAATTTGGCACTAGTAAAACTCTCTCCCTGTCTAGGAGTAAATGATCTCTGGAAAGAACCCTGAGTATAAGTACGACTGGACAATGGCTGCTGTACAATACTAGGATTGAATCTAGGACCCTGACTTCCTCGAAATTGAGATTTGAATTTATCTGAACTGGACACACCAGTTCGAAATCCATTACTGTCCTTCTGTGGTGGTCTATAACTAGAAGCACTTGCCATTGTCTGACTACTGCTTGCTCTGAATATTATTTGTTCTCTTCCACTTGGCCTATCAGAAATGCTCTTTTCTACTCTCAAAGCTGATTCTACCAATTTGCCAAATTCATTCCAGCTTGTAGTTGTTACTACTGACCTGATTTTTTTCCCTTAACCTACTTTCAAATCGTCTACATTTATCAATTTCGTTGCTTACCAGAACTTGGGCATACTTTGAAAGTTCAATAAATTTCACCTGATATTCTGCAATAGTTATCTGGCCTTGTACTAGTTTCAGAAATTCCTCCTGCTTTGCATCTTTGTAGGACCGAGAATAATAGGCATCGTAAAAGATATGATGAAAATCTATCCAGGTAATGATGGAAGGGTCTAGATATGTGCTCCGTACCAGCTGCCACCAATCATATGCACCCTCCTCTAATAAGAAAGTGCTAAGACACAACTTTCGATCGTCTGAGCAACCCATAACATCAAATAGCCTCTCTATCTTAGTCATCCATGCCTGTGCAATTGTAGGATCAGCTGTGCCAGTGAACACTTTAGCCCCTAACTTTATAGCCCTTTCAATACTAAAATCTCTGTCAGTATTACACATAGCAGATGCAACTCCAATAGCAATTCTTTTAATAGCAATAGGATCAGTTCCAATCACATTTCCCTGTCCTTGTTGTTCAGGAGTCTGGTGAACAGATTCATCTACTCTTTTGGGCTCTCTTAGTTCATCTCTATCAGAAGCAATGTGAGACTGGGGAAACATATCTTAGAGCCTTCGAGTTTTTCCACCACGAGGCATGACTCGCCTACAGTTATGCATGATATGCTAAACATCAGAATGTATGGATATACAATGCAAACCCATGAATTCTAATGCATGCTCTGATACCAAACTGACATATCCCGCCCCGTGTAACACCACTAGATCTGGACGTGGCGTGTGCCAATGATAGATACCAACTAAAAGTCGAACCCAACATCAAGGCTACTACAAATACAATTTATCACATTTTATACATCATTTTTCTAACAGAAATTCGGCATTATCTCCCCTGTAAATAGGACTAACCAACCTGTGATCAATTTCACACAAATCCCAAACTATAGCACAGCACAATAAAGATAAGTCGAAATCTCAACTTTTACCAAGAAATAAAATGAAATATACATATGGATACAAAATACATAATGAGCCCCATAAATATCTACAAATGATGCAAAATCACATCTAGACATGAACATGCATCCCAAAACACTGGCTACATGTTCTATGAAGCGAGTTATACTAACAAACACTGTCGTGTGGCTTTGACTCCAAAATCAAGGCTCAACTCCAAAAGATGCCCAGATTCTCAACTGCCGTCTGATAAGGAAAAACATGAAAAAATATATGAGTTGATAGCTCAGTGAGTGGAGAAGTTCAAAATAAATATACTTTTTCATTTATACATTTTTATTGAAAATCAAATTCATATCATTTGATAATTTACAAGCTACCATCATGTAATTATGATCAAAAAGTGAAATATTCATATAAGGTCATAAAATATCATCTTAAAATCATGATATAATATCAGCCGATAACCATGCTATAATCTCATCGTAGCAAATGTGCTGAAAAATTCCACCAAAAATGTACCCTCTGACTGAAATATGTAATCCGCCTCTTGAGCTAAGAACTTTCGCCAAGGGCCTTTGGCACCCTCCATGAATGAAAGTTGGTCTCAAAGACCTCTCATAATCAATTCTAAAACACGGTCAAGGCCCCTCTGTGAACTATATGTACATGATCAAGACCAATGTCAGGTCAAGACCTTCTGTGTAGGATAAAACACGGCCAAGGCCCCTCTATGAACTAGAAGAAGTATATAATCATGGGTACTTTTCTGGCTGATCTCAATATTGCATATCTAACATACCAAACAAATCTAAATATCACATAACTTACATACCAAGTCACAAATATACTATAAATAATCTTTGATATTCCACATATATCATAATAAAAGAGACTTCCATAATAACCATGTAATTCGAACACATAATTGCATATAATTGTACATACTTTAACAATATACTTAATTTATAAATATTTTAAAAATATTTATATTTTTTCACTCACAAAACTATGTACGCCAAAATCAACTTGATTGGTACGCTATCCCGATATCCGTATCACCGCTTGAAATATAATATAATTTTTAAATCAAAAATTAACTAATTTAAGTAATTTCAATAATTAAATAGGCGATACCCAAACTTAATTATTTCACGTTTAAGCGATTTCTAAAATCTCTTTAACTACTAAAACTAATTTTTCTTTCATTTTACTTAACTCTTAGCTTATTATACTTAACCCCTTCAACAAAATTGAATTTAATCTAACAATCTAACAACTATAAAATCAAACATAACCTTTCAATAAGTAACTTTTTACTTACCTTTCAAAATTAAGAAATTCAAGCCTAATAGCATAGAGTACTTAATCCCTAACACGTTGGCGAATTTCCCCTTTTTGTTTCTTCTTTTTCTTCCTCTTTTCCCTTTTTTTTCCCTTCCTCTTTTTTTCTCTTCTTCTTCTCTATACCGTTTTCTTGTGTGTTGTGTGTTATTAAATTGGTTTTGGGTGGAATTGGATTGATATCAATCCAATTCCACCACCTCATTATTCTATACGTATTTTTTTGTTTGACTTTTCTTTTTTCTTTTTTTTTTAAACTTAATATATTACAAAAATGGCACTACCAACAATTTACCATCATATTGTATTACCCATTGTTGGCCGAAATAATAAATATAATGATGGATTTAGAAATATTACATTGTGCACAATCCGTGCGCTAGTTGATAACCGAATCCTCTTGTTTTTGCATTCACATAACCGGATATTTGATTTGGTAACTCTTACCTGCTTGGCTCCATGCAATAGCCAACTAAAGTATTGCAACATATTATTTACTCTCATAAGTATTAAAATTCATGTGTACGTGCACAAATCGTGCACATTTGTTCCTGCAACGACCAGGAGTGAAAAAATATTTCGTCAAATTTGATGCTAAGATTGTTTGAAAAAATCGGAGTTGTTATAAATGTCATTTTGATTTCTTTATTTTTAATTTAACCGAAGGACGGAAAGCACTGCAAACCTATAAGGTTTTATGGGTTATAACCTTTTATTAGTAGCCCACATCACCTGTGCCTTTGTTCAAATCACAAGTATTTGTGAATGATTTACTGGGATTTATTTCCTAATTTGATTTAACTAGGCAGTTTAGTACCAGAGACACTTTTGAGTTAATTATCAGAGACAAACCGAGATGTATGACCCCCTTCTAGGCTCCTATTGCCCAACAAGTGGGACATGTATATATCGATGTCTTCATTTTCAGGGATTCCCAAAGAGTGACGGCAATAAAGATGAGGATGAATTTGATGATTAGGAGAATGAATTTGATTATAACAGCAACGAAAGAAAGGATCCGGAGAATGAATTTGATTATAACAGCAATGAAAGAAGGGATCCACCGCAGATTGCAGCAGCATCTCTCTCAGCTCACCTTAACATTGGCCGAAGTGCTTCTGGAATCCCTATTCCATCAGAGTTGGATTCCTCAGCAATTGCTTCGAAAATTTCTCTCCTCACTTATGGTCAAGAGGTAGTTAGACGTTCAATCTTTTTCTTATTTTGTTTGATGTTTTTTTAACTTAGTTATTTAGTTGCAATTTTTTGATAGAAATACACATCTTTTACCAAGGACTGTGCCATTTCGACAGAAATAGTTAGTGGAGATTTTAACATTAAAATGGCTTGAAATAGGTTTGCACTAATGTGAGGTTGTCCAATAAATGTTCTCATATTCTCTTAAAGAGTTTTTTGGCAATTCAAAGCAATTTTCGGTGAAAAAGTGTATCTCGACATAGCGAAACTCCTATTTCAACAATCTTTTAGAGTTTTAGGTCCAAAATAATAAATCATTACCAATAAGATTATCTTATCTCTCTCTCTTTTCCATGTTTTTTGAAACATACTACCACCACGGCTCCTGTTTTTTGGTCCCCAATTTTCTTTGTTCATTTAGCTTTAGTATTTTCTTTGTGCAATTTTAGTCATTACTCAACTAATCTTCTGCGTTAAGTTCTCATGATCCAAAAGTCATTAATAATAGATCTCATAAGAATTTCAGAATGTTGCAATTTAATTATCAAACTTGCCAATCGTTGAAATTAACTCACAACACTTACGATTCTCCTCTGATAGTACCATTAATACTTCCAATTGAATAGTTGTAATGCAATTGGTCTTCAAGTGCTTCGAATAAATTATAGACATGCTCAAATTTCACCGATTTCCACTTAACTCCAATGAAATTCCTTATATGCAGAGAATACCAGATTTAGTTTATTAAGTCCAAGGAATTGTATTCATTGTTATCTTAGTTATCAAATACTATCGACAGTTACTTTCTTCTAAAACCTTCCTTTTATCATTAAAATTTTTTGGAGTTATTGTTAAGAAAATGGCATTGCCAATAATTTACCATCATATTCTAACTCCCATTGTTGGTTGAAATAATAAATATATTGACAAACATAAAAATGTTACATCGTGCACAATCTGTGTGATTGACAACTGAATCATCTTAGTTTTACATTCACACAACTTGATATCTGATTCGGTAACTCTTACCTGCTTGTCTCCTTGCACTATCCAACTACAGTATTGCAACATATTACTTAAACTCATAAGTATAGAAATTCAAGTGCATGCATGCAAGTCATGCAAAGTGGTAAAGATTGTTTGAAAAAAATATTTCGACGACCGAGAGGTAAAAAAAAATATTTTATTAAATATTTTGGCTAAGATTGTTTGAAAAAATATGATGTGTTATAAGCGTCATTGGGATTTATTATTATTATTTTTTTTAACCAGAAAGAGAACATTTGACAAGCGACAAAGCAGTGCAAAACTATAAGGTTTTATGGATTATAACCATTTTGTTCAAATCACCTTTCCATTTGTTCAAATCACCTTTCACAAAACTATAAGGTATTTGTGAAAGATTTTCTGGGATTTATTTTCTAATTAGATTTAGATGGGCAGTTTGGTATCAGAGCCACATTTAAGTTAATTATCAAATATAAACCGAGATGTACATGTCAAATTTAAATATCGAATGAGTCCCTTCCAGGCTCCTATTTGTTGGAGATAAAAAATTATGGGATGAAACGCTAGAGAAAAATCCAAAGAATTTTTAAAATGATTTGTATTCTATGTCTTGGCTCATAAAATGTCTCAAGCACAAGGCCTTTTATAGGTACAAAGGATCCCAAATACATTGTATGAACTTAAGAGACTAATTAATGACTTTTTCTATATACTATGAATAATAGGATACAAAGAACCATTTGGATACATGATTTAAATAAATGCATGAATATTAAGTGAACTAATTCATGTATCAAATTTAATTTTTTTTATCATTCATGAATCAAGTCTAATTTTCAACACCCCTTCTTAAACTTGATTCCCTCTTGAAAACTCCAATCCAAGTACACAATCTTGCAAAATCATCATTCTTCAATGGTTTGGTGAAAATGTTTGCTACTTAATCATTGGTCTTCACATAAGCAAGCTTAACTTCTTTGTTCTCAATGTACTTCTAATGAAGTGAAATCTCGTATATATATGCTTGCTTCGATCATGGAACATAGGATTTTTACCCAAAGCAATAGTTGACTTGTTATCAACATAAATTGGTGTAG